GCCCCTGTAGTTCCAACTCACAATACTCATCTTCGATCCCCTACTTTGTCGATGATGGACAATCACGACCACCAAACACCACCTAGGCAAAGCTAGGACATCGACCGCAGTTCATAGAATCTAAAACATTATTAGCGACAACCAAAATGAAGGACTAGGAGTTCTAGAGCAAAAATGATGGGCAGCCGGAGGAGATGCATTAGACTTCTCCTTCATCATGTAAATTGACTATAAGCATTAACAACAGAGTATGAATCAATTTTCCCAAGAGTCATCCCTAGATTGAGCGTGTGACTCAACTGTTAGCCTACAAGTACACCATCCTACATGTATTTTCATAATAAATGAAAAAACAAAACGAAAAATAAAATGAAAAATGAAACATTTGTTAGATGAAACTTAATTAAATTGTTAGTTGAAATGAATTTTTTTTAAGACGAGGTGCAGTACAGTTCATGGTATCCACATGGGCTACCTCGAAAGCGGACATCAAATCCTCGGTAAGTATTTCACCTCTTGGAACAAAGTTATGTTGCATGTCTTTTACCAAATGCTCTTGCAACTGTTTTAGGTCAGCATCACTCAAAGGACCAAATTCTCAACTCAACTTGTTTCCTCATTTCAATGCAAAGATAAAGATGTAACTATCTTTATTTTTTTTGCTGGTTGAAATTCAGTATATAAGTTGACTGATGTTCAATGCTTCCTTACAAATAACACTTAATTTCTTTTAGTAAAATAATTTTATAAGAAATTTATAATGTGATAAAAACCTCTTATGTAATTACTTTTTATCAAAATGTTATTTTGACTGCAAGTTTGTCCTTTGTTTAATTGATTTGTGTTAAGAGAAGATTAGTCTTATTTCGGTTTAGCCATTTCCTGGAAATCCGAATGGGAGCTGGCTGAAACTTTTCATATGGATGCTCCTACTATGTTTTTCAGATGATTGCCGAATCTATGAAGGGCTTCAGTTGACTCTTTTCGTACCTTTTCTTTTTTTATTGTTTCTTTTTGTTTTTGGTACATTCTTCTCTTTTAGTACTCTTTGCTTTTTATGAGTACTTAATCACTAATGATAGCACATTACAATAAGGGAGAATTTGACTTTGCACCCCATGTTTTGGTTAATATTGGATTTTGCACCCCATTTTCAAAATCATTAATATTTGCACCCTATTTCACTATATAATCATTTGACTTTGCACCCCACTCCTTCACATTTTTTGAGCTAATGGGGTGCAAATATTAATGATTTTGAATATGGGGTGCAAAGTCTAATATGTCCTAAAACATGGGGTGCAAAGTCAAATTCCCCCTTACAATAAACATAAGTAGAACAAGTACATTAGATACTAGTCTAATACAAGGATAATAAAAAGGGGTGACATCATCAAAACAATATATTAATCATCAAAATCTAGGGGACCTAACAGTTGTGTCAGACTTTGTTAAATCTACCTCTGAACCAGTGGCAGACCTAATATTTATATTTTGGGTGTTCAGAATTACACATTTTCTCTTTAAAATACTAATAAATAAATTATTATTCTAATATATATATATATATATATATATATATATATATTCCCATTGTTTATTTGATTTCTGGGTGTTCACATGAACACCTTTGATACAAAAAGATCTGCCACTGCTCTGAACTGGTAAGAAATTGGTCCAATAACCGCCGCTCTTTCCATTTCAGTACGAAAAGGGGCATATCCTGAACAACCCATATGGTGAGACAATTTGGTCTATGACAGACAATTTGTCTGTGAAAGACAGACAAGTGTACACAAAACGTGTACCTCTAGCATTTCTCCATTTCTTATACTCTGACCAGTGATGATTCCATACGAAAAAATTAAACTGCTTTATCTACTTTAAAATTAAATAAGCCTCCACAAAAAGGAAAGAAAGGCTGAAATATATAAAAGTATCAAGAGCCTGTTTGATAGCACCAAAATCGATTGTTTTAGATGATTCTGCTGAAATTTATGAAGTTCTGGCTGAAGTGGCTGCATTTGCAGATTCTGCTTATTTAAGAAAAAACTATTTTTAAATATATTTTATTAATAAAATAAAGAAAAAGTTATATGTAAAATTGGCTAAAATGATTATCTACAATAACCTCAGCCAATACGAAAAGTAACTTTAACCTTATTTTTTCTACTTATTACACAATTCAACGCGCGAAATAAAAAATTACGTGTTTGGTGAAAAAGTTGGATGATAAACCTGATAAGCCGAAAAACAATGTTGTCAAACGGCCTCTAAATGCAGTTTATAGTACTCCCCCTTGTCCCTAAATTATCTTCATTCTTTCCATTTCGGTCCGTCTCAAATTGATCTCCTCCTCTTTTTGGTAAAGAATTTGTGATTCACAACCATTTTTACACATTCTTACACATTTCTCTTTCTTCTGCACACCTCTCCACCACACATTTCCCATTATCTTTAAACTTGTGCCCGGTCAAATAAGAAGATAAATATGGGACGAGTACAAAAAAAGTTGCCCAATAAAATCCGATAAAAAAAACTAACATACATAAATAGATGCTAGAATTCACAGGTTTAACTAAACAGAAAATATCTAACTAATTGAGGCATTCAAAACTACATTACTGCCATTGCAGGTGGTTTCAAAGCTAAGAAAATTATGATCAGAATTTGTTATAACATCAGCTTCATCATATTGATATTCCAAATGTCTATTATAAACCCATGAACTGCCATGGTGAAACTTAAAATTGCAAATATTAATCATCCTGCACACAAATAACATAGGATTTTTATTATGTGGACAATATCAAACATGCAAAAGTCACATATTCAAATTGATAAAACTTATTCGGTTCACAAAAATTAGATTCAAGAACGAATAAAACAAAATCTCTAGAAAACTCTACATAATCTTCTTTAATAAACCCAACTTTGTTCAAAATTAATGTTCTCCCTTGCAATTACAAACTCACTCAATCGAAAACACAAAGGATATAGATTCACTCCAAGTACAAATCAATTTAAATCCTAAGTGGTATAATAAATCATCCACAATTCTAGATTTAAGAAGAACGTACAAAAATGAAAAAGAAAAGAAACATCTAAATCTTCAAAGCTTAACACCGCATCTGAGGGGAAAAAACATTGCATCTAAGAAGAAAAGCAAAAGGTCTAAAGTTTAAACCCTTCCCTCTGTTGCCGGCGATAAAAAATAGCGGCCGTCATTTGAGCATCTAAAGATAAAATGCTGCTCCATTTTAATTACGTTGGCTTATGCGTGAAAAGTAACGGCACCCATGAGTGGAGGGGCTTGATTCATCAAAAAAACTTAATTTTTGGATGTATATCATCCCAAAAAAAGTTTAGGGTCATATTTCCACCTAAAATAAAATATTAGGGTCATTTTTGCCCCTTTTCCCGTTGCGATTCTTGCTGCGTTTTTTCGGCCATTTTTGGCTGCATTTTCCGACTTTTCCCTGCATTTTCCCAGCATTTTTACTGCTTGTTTAATATTACTTAACGTGCCCAGAAGTTCATATTCAAGGAAGCTAAATCCACTCCGGCCATATGTTTGATAATATGTCAAGGTTATTTCATCGCACTTGGCATCAAGTGCTGTGTTTCCCCGTGCTTTGTGCTGCGTTTTCCCTTGCATTTTTTCTTGTGTTTTTTCTTCATGATTTTTATTAATTAAGGCTAGCTCAGGCTTGTCATTAGATGGTCACCAACAGTCCATATGAAAGGAAATTAAAAGCATATCAGGTGTTTCACTTGTGTGTTGTTTTAAATCACACATTTTCAGCTCCTTAGGTTCACTTATTGTTTCAGTCTTATTGAAAATGTCTTTGAGTCTTAATTGTACTTGTATAGGTTTGCTCTTTATGAATGATATCAACTTTCCTTTTTATTTCAACTTTAAATTATCGCATACTATGAAACTATTTACGATCATTACTTTCTTTGATACAATCAAGTTTTTTATTTTACATTCCTTACTTTCTCAAATATGTAAAAAAACTATTTCAATTGCAACTATTAAACAATTTACGTTCCTTGATTTCTTTGATACAACATCTAACTTTAAATAACATCTTTGACACATGCTATGTCAAATTAAACTATTTTACATTCCTCATTTCTAAACTATCAAACTATTTATGTTCCTTACTTTCTTTGATACAAACATAATCTTCAAATTACATACCTTTGATACAAACTATCGAACTGTTTATGTTCCTTAATTTCTCAACCAATAATATTAAGTATAATCTTGTTCTTTCATTGCCACAACCATTTGTAACTACAACTTTAACACACATAACCCAGGTTTAAAGCAAGTATGATAGGCTCGTTCCGTTCCTATCTTTCACTCATAATTTGGGTGTTAATTGTCTAATTTTTATAATTAATCGGGTGACTATTAGGAATTTGAGTGAAAATTTGCTATTTTTCGGTCCCGGTGGCAGTCATATTGGAAATAGTATTTTTTCTACACAATTTGACATTTTTGGAGTAATTTGATTGTAAAGTTACATGTTATTAGCAGTTGTGGTGAGTTGTGATTTTACAGGCCAAATTTGCGGTGAATAATATATTGTTTGGGCCGAATCATTTGCGGGTTACTTTATTGAGTGAAGTGCAAAAAGAAGAAAAAGGAGAACGAGCAGCCCAAAATGAAAAATGAGCTGGGTTTTTTTTCCCTGGATAGCAGCCGCACCGCACCATTCTATTCTTTCTCAACACAAAAGCACAGCCACTGGAAGATTCAGGGGGTGTTTGGATCTAATTCTCAAAACTGATTCTGCTCCTTCAGGGAGCAGAAACAGAAGCTGGAGTGTTTGGGTGAAATTCCAGAAGCACTTCTGGAGCTCTAATTTACTCTCAGAATCAGTTTTTTTAGAAGCTGGGGGGGGTACCAGCTTCTGAAAACTGATTCTGATTCTGCTTCTGCTTTTAAAAAAGAAGGAGAAGCAGAATCAGTTCCAAACACCCCCTCATTCCCTCTGTTCCTTTTCAATTAGCTATAGCAGCAGTTCATTTTTTTTCTCGTAGCATACAAACGAGCATGCCGCAGCAGTAGAGTTCATATCTGTTCTTTTCGTTTCTGAACAAAAGCAGCCGCATCAGTTTTCTTTTTCCGTTGGATGAACATAGTGTTAGCAAGCAGCAGTTCTTCATTCTTTTATTTGGAATCAACCACACCAGTAGGATTTCTAAACTACACTCCTCCTTCAATTTCTTCCAAGTTAATTTAGATTCCAAACATTAATTGTAAGTTCAGTATACTTTACATTACTTCTTTCAGTTTTAGATTAAATTTCGAATTTGTTTTTCCCCAAACAATTACTCTAGTTCAGTTTTTCTAGCCCTTATCATGTTTATCAATATTATTGTGATGTTAGTTTTAAATATGAGTAGCTAATTTCATATAGGGTTTGAATTGGGGCTAGGGTTCATGGGTTCTTGAGGGTGTGAATTTAGTTCTTTAAAATTCAATTAATTTTCTGGAAAATTGTATAAGATTAATCATAATTGTCTATATGAATTTGATCACCTCATATATGAATACTTGGATTTAATTCAATTCTTGTCTATGAGAAATTGAGTTAAATTAGCTCAGGTCTTATACAAGCAATCTGATCTTAGAAATAAGTTACGATTGTCGAAATATGATTTAATTATTGTCTATGAGAATTTATTTCATTTTCTGTCTAAGAATAATTGAAAATTAATTTACTTAATTCTAATCCGGAAAGAACACCCAGAATCCGAACCATCCAATTTGAACCCTGCTTTTATATCTAGAATTAATTTAATTATTTGTTTTCCTCTCTACTTATTTTTGCACTCGCTATTAGTCAGTTTATTAGTCAGTTTTATTTTCAAACCACTCAAAAAATATTTATTCGGAAAGATTACCATGACTTGTGCTAGCCTGTGATCACGGACTGTATTTAAAACTTCCTTTTTGCCACTCCTTGAGAGACGATACTCGTGGTCTGGTTATTCTTCGGATTAGCCAACTACGTTTTACTCACTATAAAATACACCGATCAAAGTACAAGTTGGGCATATTAAAAGCTCCACCTTTTTTTAAATGCAGGGATAAATTTGTCACAGAAAGCAACCGTATGTACTTTATCTCCATTAAGTAGGATTGCAAATCATTAGACACAATATATCATGAATTGATAAGAAAATTTATGTCCCTTGTTATCTCTTCTGCCTCTTCCCATCTGAAACTTCTCGCTCTCATCCCTTTTCTCTCTCCTTCTTGTGATAGGAAGATCATCCCACTTGATTCCTCATTCTGCTCTCCTGATGTGGTTATGAAAGAGAATGTGACATCAACGTTTTAATAGTGACATATTCAAGATTCTTTCTGAGGATGTAAATTCACAAACTTTTTCATACGCATTTCACACACTTGATTATGTTAAGAGTTTTACAAAAGTAACTATAAGTAGAAATTTTTATATTCGAAAAATTTATCACATACTTTACTTTTCATTTCATCAAAAAATCATTACATTTCTTTTAAGAAATACGTAGTACATAGTACTTTTTATTGTTGCTGTAATTTCACATTAGTAGGAAATATTGATCAGTAATTTGTTCTTTCATAAAAAAATTGTTAGTCGTTATTAGTTTACATACTCAATGAAACAATAGATTAACGCCAAACCCAAACAAAACTATACAAAGTTAAACAAGGTGGGATGACTTTTAAGAGGACATGCAAATTGAAAGAAACAAAAAATTAAGTAATTTGTGACTTGCTAAAAGCTAAACACTTCCAACAATCCATATTGGTGTTATTCGGATTTCGGGTATTCATTCATTATAGTGTTTTCGTTTCACAAACTTTGCCACGTGATCCAAGTTATTTCTCGCCCTTCTCTTTTAATCATAATCATAAAATTTTTACTTTATTATTCAATGTGCAAGTCAATTTTGACCAAATTTTATAAGGCGGAACACACACACACATTCTCATTCCTAGGAGAGAAATGAGAATGAATCTAGACAACTGAATTGTATTATGTGAAACTGAATTATTGTGCATTTGGTGAAACTGAAATGTGTATTACAATTTACAGGAAATTGAAATGTACAAAACAAAAGGTAAAACTCAAATGTGCATTACGTGAAACTGAGATGTGCAGAATAAAAGACACAAAATGCCACTGCAACATAACTTTTATTCTTCCCATTTCAGTTTCACATCATGCATATTTCAGTTTCACCTAAATAACAATTCAACTTCACATAATGTCATTTTGTCATATCTTTTGTGTTGCACATTTCTATTTCACCTAATGCATATTTCCATTTCACATAACGCACATTCAATTTCATAGTATAAGATTTGTCCATGTATTTTCTTACATTATCAAAAGATAACTTATGTCCCAATATAATATAATCCAATGTTTTAAAAGGCGCTAGGCGAGAACAAGTCGTAGACATAAAAATTACTTAGTATAACTTTATCGATCAATGTATTTTCATAAATATGATTAGTAATATTGTGTTTGTGTGTATAAAAATAGTCACACACATACACATTTACATGCATGAAAAATAGAGTTGTCACATTTAATAATATACTCCCTCCGTCCCATAAAATTCTTCCTAGTTTGACTTGACACGGAGATTAAGAAAGTGAAATAAAGTGGAAAGTATGGCTGCGGTTGTGTAAGAAAAAGGTGAAATGAATGCGAACCACACAAATTGTCCAAAAATGGTAAGTGAGGAGAATTTTTTGGAACGACCCAAAAAGGAAAGTGGGAAGAATTTTATGGGACGGAGGGAGTATTATATTGACTCACTAATTAACTAGTACTCTCTACGTTCCACTAAGATTGTCCCATTTTTTCTTTATGGTCCGTCCTACTAAGATTGCCCCATTTTTTCTTTGTGTGGTCTAAATCATTCTTACTTTATGAATTTAAGATCAACCACATAAACTCACTTTTATTGGTATGCGTGTCACTCCCACTTGTACCGTTGTTAGTGGGACGGAGGGAGTATTATTTAATAAATATTATGTAGTATAAATAGTATGGAGTAATAACATTCAAGATTATATTTCTTCAAAAAAAAAAAAACATTCAAGATTATATACTACTACCTCCGTCTCCCTAATATTCGGACGGAAGGGAGTGGTGTGATTTTTTAAAGAAAAATAGATTTATGTGGTTGATAATTAATTGATAAAGTGAGAATAAAGTAATATTGAATTAGAGTCACACAAATATTACGAAATATGGTATGAGACAAAATTAGTGGGACGGACAAAAAAGAAAAATGAGACAATTATAATGGGACGGAGGAAGTAACATATAATTTTTTTAATCTACAAGTAGTATCTTTTTTCATATGTGTTGTTAAAGTTAAAGGTACATATATCTCTTAGCTAGAAAACAAATGTGGAGGAGCATAAAAAAATAAAAAGAATGTTTGGAAAATCTAGACGCCCTAGGTGACCATTTAAGCGCTCTGGACGGACAACTAGGCGCCCTAGATCGTCAACTAATTAACCTAAGCGACAAACCAATTAGCTAGCCGGGGCGCCTAAAGTAAAATTGGGGCGCCTGGCCACCGCCTAGCGCCTAAGAGGAGACTAGCAAGGGCAGATCTATTCACAAATATATGGGGAAATTGAACATGTTGCCGATAAATTTTTTGTAATATGATAAAATTATATGAAAAAATTGTAATATGATAATTCGGCTTTGAGCCTTTTCTTCATTGCCTTAGTCATGGATGAACTTACGAAGTCAATTCAAGATGATATACTATGGTGCATGATGTTTGCTGACAATATTGTATGGATTGATGAGACACAATCAGGTGTTAAAACAAAGTTGGAAGTATGGCGACAAACATTGGAGAACACAGGTTTCAGACTAAGTCGGAGAAAGACAGAGTACATGGAGTGCAAGTTTGGTGGAGATAGAAGCATTGGTAATAGCAGAATTACTCTGATGGTAAGGAGATACTGGTCAGCGATATGTTCCGTTACTTGGGCTCCATAATTCAGAAGGGCGGTGAGTTAGATGAAGATGTATCTCATAGAATCAGAACATGGTGAATGAAGTGGAAGAGTGCGTCGGGATTTCTATGCGATCGAGGTATGCCGACTAGACTGAAGAGTAAATTTTATAGGACAACAATTAGGTCTGCATTACTTTATGGCGTAGAGTGTTGGGCGGTGAAACAATGTCACATTCAAAAGATGAGTGTGACAGAGATGTGCATGCTACGTTGGATGTGTGGGCATACTAGAAAGGACCGCGTGAGAAATGAGACAATCAAACAAAGGGTGGGAGTAGCACCTATTGAAGATAAGATACAGGAGTCGCACCTACGGTGGTTTGGTCATGTGTGTAGAAGACCGGGTGATGCACCTGTCAGACGAGTTGAGATGTGTGGAGAAGAGACACGGAAGATAGGGAGAGGAAGGCCTAACATACGTGAGTTAGGAGAGTTAGAAGTGATATGCTTTTCCTTGGGGTGGATGAGGGTATGACTTTGGAGAGGTCAAAGTGGAGGGCAGATATTCGTGTGGAGGAGTGATCTCGTATCAATTTTTCCCCTCATATTTTTTTATTCTTTTATCCTTATATATAAATATTATTTTTTATCCTTTTTATTTTATCATTTCTATGTATATTCATCTCTTTTTATTTTATCTTTTTTATCTTTATTTTCTTTCGTTTTCTTTTGGTGGTGATATCATGTATCGATTCATGTTAACTGACCCCAATATCTTTTGGGATTAAGGCTTGGATGTCGTTGTATTGTAGTTGGAGTAATTGCCCTCAATATATTATTTCATTTGCCACCAATGATTTTGTTTTTTCAATTACAAGCTGGAATATAAATATGTAAGATATTATTAGGATTAATTAAGTTCACTTGCTGGAGGTAATATACAACACATGAATTGTTGGAGGTAATATACAACATGTAACTCAAATAAAAAGAGAAATTTGGTACTCCCCCGATCTCTGAAAAACTCCCAACTTTCCATTTTCACCCGTCCCCAAAAAACTTTCACTTTCCATATCAGGCATTTTTTTTAAATTACCTCAATAACCTCACAAATACTTTTACATCTACCCACATTTATTACCACACCCAATCCGTCCACCCGTATTCAACTCTTTTATTGCACCTTCTCTCGCTGTTCTTTCATTATTCTTTCGATCCCCATATGGTCAAATCTTCTCCCTCTCTGTCGATTGATATGCAGTCATCCCACTCACCCACCCACCCACCTAAATCTTGAAAGCCAATAATGGTAGTAAACTCGTCAGTTTGGTTTATGCATCCCGACTTGAGTGATGCGGTGGTTGAGGACTCAGATGATTCCTCCAGTTTGCCTGATTTTGTCCCCGAGTTTGAGAAGTTGGCCAAAATCGTCCCTGAGGCCAGATCTTTCATGACTTTGTCCCTGAGTTTGAGCAGTTGGCCGACATCGTCCCTGAGGCTATGATCTTTCTCGCCTTTGTCCCAAAGGCTAGGATCTTGCCCGTTTTCATCCATGACTTTGATCTTGATTGCGTCCTTGTCGATTCACTTGCAACTACTTTTACTGTGCGCAGCGGGCAGGAAAGCTGGTGATGTGAGTTTTCCCGCACTTAAAATAGACAGTAGTATAGGGTGTAAGATTGATTGAATGAAAAAAATAACTAATGTGAATGAGCGGCTAAAAAATAATGGGGTCTCTCTAAGTAATGACGAAGGGAACAAAGATTGATTCCGGAATAATCAGATTTCTGGCAGTTCAGGCTCAATCACATGAAAATTAATTAATTGAGCAATGCTAATGAATACTTAGTCATAACCGCTCTCGCGGCGTAGAGTACAATAATTTAAGGAACCAGGCTGGTCTCTCATGCGACATGTATCTAAAATTATTGTCAAAACGAGCGAGCGTACGTCCCCTTAATCGCCACTAATCTATTAGCGAACGATTAAGTGTGTGTGAAGGTGTTCTAGAATAAATTAGATCTCTCTTAATTTATTCTATGTGCAATTATAATCCTAGCAGCTGTTCTAGGTTACAAGAGATATCAATTTAATTATTCAAACACAAATTAAATAAAAATCCATGCAATTAATCCATCAAGAAACTAGCCATATATCATGATCAACCCTTTCATCAATCCCAAATCCCTAATTAAAACTACTCACAATTCATAATTGAAGAATTAATAGAATTGGAATAAAAGAATTAATTGTCATTAATTAAAAAGATGGAACTTACAAAGAATACCAAAACATTGATGAACAAGGCTGGAAATCTCTCTAAATTTCGTGCTAGGCACTCTCTGTAAGCTCCCCCTGAAAACGGGACTTTACAGGCTGTTTAAATAGAAAAAATGGAGCAATTTTGACCGAAATAGGACATCGGGAGTGCACGCACGGCACCCACGCATGGCGTGCGTCCCCCAGTGCGTCCGGAGCAACCATATGCGAAATTGTTTCATGCACAGCCGTGCGTGGTTGGCAGTGTAGTCTTCGAAATTTTCAGCATCGGACGCACGACGTGCGTTCCCCTACACACGGAGTGTGTGAAACTTCCAAATTTGACGATGTTTCCTTCATGAAAGTTGTAGATAATGAAGTTCTCTATCCACTAAAATTTGCAAAACTGGATTTGAATCATCCAATCAAAAGATACGTATAAAATGGTGGAAGGTCGCATTCTGAAATCTCAACGGTGATTATCTGACTTCCTCGTCTGTTTTTACCTTGCTCCTCTCAGATTCGCGCAAACGTGTCTTCATATGATTTGTAGTCCTTGAAGTTGGCTTTCATATGGAACTTGAATCGTGTCCTTTGGGTGTTTCTAAAACAAGATATGCTTGAACGATTGACAGAAGGTCATCCTGATCGCCATTTTCAAGCTCTATTCGTATTCTTTTGATCTCATAGCCAATCCTAGAGCTCTCTTGTCATCCAATCTTCCTCGTGAACCTCCCGGTGACCTCCAAAGCTCTCAATTCACTCTCGAATGCATCTGGAATCATCTCGATTGCTTCTCAAGCGCCGGTACTGGGCTTAAATTCCCTGATTTTGACTCCAAACAATACAAAACTCGAACCAACACCCGGTAACTATGACTTGAGCTAAAAATGAGACTTGTGACACAAAATAATTAGGGAAACCATCAAAAGCCGATCCCAACACGCATCAAATGCATGTCGAAATACGGACTTATCAGCTGACTACCCCTCCCTGTTCATTTCCCTTTCATTTTTGCGGTTAAAACTTAAAGGGCAAACCTGGAAAGTCAATGCAAAATAGTTCATTTTCTTAATTTGTGTGCCTAGTCAAATTGGAAGAAGCATTAGGGACAGAGGGAGTACAACTTTATGTGTAAAATACTCCGTATAAAGTTTGATGTCAAATCACAATTCGTATATAAATTTTGTTGTTACATAATTGATTTTGAGTTAGTCTAATGTTTTATTGATGTAAGTCAAATTTTTATAAAATTATGCTGCCAATAAGCAATTTTTTTAGATCCGTAACTGTAGCTAGTCGGGCCCAAGAACAATTTTTAGAACCAGATGATATGTGTGTATTGATTGCATCGTTACCATCGATTACCATCACAAAAGTCGTGTCAATGTCGGAGTTTCATTAAACTTAATAATGTCTTTTGTTAAGACACGAGGTTTCATCCTAAAAAGTCAACCCGATAGGATGAGTAGCCCAAAATCTTATATAGTGTTTAATTGTTTTATAGATTTTCGGCGTGGGACAAATACTTAAACATGTCCCCTCAGCCCGAACCGGGTTGGACAATATCAGATGGTATAAATGGGCCAAACAGACCCTTAACAAGCTACCCGTAATCATTAATGCTAAACAAGTAGTAAAACCACAACTGGAATTGTCTCTTATACCATTGATAGAGTATATGGGCCTAGACCCCATGGCCCACATACTCAACGGCCCAAAAGACACCAGCGGGACACCCGCATCGGCCAAAGGCACGTGACGCCCAAAAGAGAAGATATCGCCTGATTTCTATGGACCGCATCGTCCATGGACCGCACCGTCCATGGACCGCATCGTCCATGGACCGCATCGTCCATGGACCGCTTCGTCCGGACTTCGTCCGGGCAGAATGTATTTTCCCATTTTTTGTACTAAGTGTTGTACTCAGCCCATTAGTGGCCTTATTCGCCCAAAGAAGGCATGATTATTGTAATGGGCCTCCTAAGCCCGAGGCTAGGGGCCCAAATCCACATTTTTACCTATAAATAGACCCCAAGGGGCTAATTATAGGGGGTTCCAAGTTGAGAAATATAATTACTCACTTTCTCTCTCTAGCTCTCACTTCTCTCTAGAATTAATACTCTATCATTTGGTGCTTTCATTGAGAGCCTAGAACAGATCAAGTGAGTACCCCTCGTCGCTACTAGACGCAACAGAATGACAAGGACTAGGTCAAAGAACACCGGTAGGAATGCCCCACTGAACCAGGAAGGGCAGGGAAACGTTGCTGACAACGTCCCCAATGATCCTATCATCCAGGATGAGGACGCCCAGGAAGTCGCGCACGCAGCAGCCGACCTTCGCGTCCAACTCAACAAGACTGCTCCCGACGCCCGAATCGGGCTCGAGGACAGGCGCAACGCTGATCGCGCTTCGGGCCAGCAGGCCTCTAACCCTGCTGCTCCCCAGATCAACCCGGCCGCACTATCGGCCATTGTTGCGAGCATCCTTCAGGACCCCAACGTGGTCAGCGCTCTCGTCGCAAAGACAGGGGAGAACAACACTCCGGCAACTGGAGAGGTCGCAATGGTGCCACCACCGCCACCTCGTCCGCAAGGCGTCACCTTCTTCGGTGACAACGAGGACGTCCTCGCCGTGGACACCCATTCCCACACTGCCTCACCTACCCGGGATACACCGGCCCAACCTCGCGGTAAAATCTCAGCCTTCAACAGGCTGGGTGACATCGCGAGCCGTCGGGTACCTACGGGAGGGGTGGCGGGTCGGTTGGGTGGCCGCGAGCCGGGGTCGCCAAAGGAAAGCTTCGGGTCCGTTTCCCGGACAACGGATCGGCCCCGACAAGACAAAGGAAAGGGAAAACTGAATGATGATGATGCGCGTCATCAGATCAACCTGGCCCATGCGGCCCGGATCCAGACACCGCTGGGTGGCGCTGCGGCCAACACGGACCCAAGGGACGAGATCATCGCCCGCCTGGAAAAGCGCCTCGCTGATATGGAGGCCCGGGAGGCCGCAGGGCGCGCAGCGGCTCATACATCCCAGCATCCCAACTACGATGCACTCCTGCACAAAGTCAGTGCCTTGGAGAGGGAGCTGGCCGACCGACGCGACGAGCCCGTCATCCAAATCCGGACCCGGACCCCCTTCTCCGCAAGGGTGCTCTCCGCTCCCATCCCAGAGAAGTACAAGGGGAATCCGATCAAGCCGTATGACGGCCGCACTGATCCTCAGGAGCATTTCACCCGCTATCAGAACAACATGATGATGACCAACGCTTCAGAGGAATACATGTGCCGCTGGTTCCTTTCCACCTTGGAGGGACCAGCGTACGATTGGTTCAACAACCTTCCGGAGGGGAGCATCGACTCATGGCAGGACCTTGCTCAACGCTTCCTCACTCACTTTGCCGGGAGGAAACGTGCGAAGAAGCATTTCGCTCATCTCCTGACCATAAAACAACAGCCGGAGGAGACGCTCCGAGCCTTCCTCGATCGCTGGACGAGGGAGGCGGACGAATGCGAGGGAGCCGATGAACGCACCCTCCTGGCCTTCCTCCGCGGAGCACTCCGGCCGAGCCACTTCGCCCGGAGCC